TCTAATTTCAGGTGGTAGTTGGTTCCAAAGAGTGCAATATTTAATGGTAAAAAAGCTTGCCCTAATGGATATTTTGTGGGTAACCATCTTGACAAGGTATTCGTGGTTTCGCAGCCGATATGATTTGATATTTGCCCACGTTACGGATGAGTCACTGTAATAATGTTTTCTAATGACTTTGAAGGGTAGAAATAAGTTGTACTTCACTCTCCTCAACCACGGAGGTTCTAATTTCAGTCGTATACACCTGTCAGCATATTCCACTGGTTGGTCAAACCCTATTATGCGTTTCGTGAGGAATCTCTGGACGCTTTCGACTTTTTTTCGGTCTGCAGACCTTAGGTTACCAAATAGAAGAGCACAATATTCAAGTTTGGGGCGGATACATGCTTTATATTCAGCTAGTCTTGCTTCTTGGGTGTAAAAGTTACGCAGTACAAAGCCAGTAAGTCATTTACAGTCAGATACAACCTTATTTGCATCATCAGAAAAGGTTAAATTTGAGTATGTTATGCCGAGATCTGTCACTGTATTCGGTTTTGAGAGGAGCTTACCGTACATATTTAGACACATTCTCGGTTTCCAGCGTCCAAGGTGGGCTATACTACATTTGTCTGGGTTGTAAGTCAGATGCCACTTTTCGCTCCAATCGCCTAGATTGTTTAAGTCATGTTGGATCTTGCTTTCGACACTCATATCATCGTATCCGTGACCACATACTATCTTGAGATCATTTGCAAAGAGGTATGGCTTGTCATACTTGATCATAGACACTATGTCATTTATACACAAGGGGAATAGAATAGGCCTGAGAATGCTTCCCTGTATTGCGCCACTAGTTATCGGCTTCGATGAAGACAGCTGGTGGTTGATTTCGATTAATTGCTCTCTTTCTGTGAGAAGAGAATTTATCACTTTTTGAGGAGTTTCCCGGTTATTCCGTAGGATTGGAGTTTTGTTAGGAGTCCGATATGTTAGACTTTATCAAAGGCCTTGCTAACGTCAAGAAATAATGTTGTTACTGAACGCTCATTATCAATGCATTGTGTAATAATAATAATATTTTTATATTTTCATATAAACATAAATTTACATGAAAATGCATGCCATTTTTACAGGCACGATCAAGTATGATATAATAATAATAATAATGTATTTCATATAAATTTACAAATTTACATGAAAATGCATGCCATTTTTACAGGCACGATCAAGTATGATATAATATCAAATCGTAGATTGTCTACAAGTTAATCGTATTTCAACTGTTAAATATTCGATACATATAATACACTCATTTTCTGAATTAGACCGTATAGTTATTGAATTGTACAGTTGTCCTCCAGGTTGAGCGGGAAAATCGACTTCGTTCCGTTTTCATCCCGTGGTTGTAGGCATACGATAACCAACCGATATTGAGGTAAGTACACCTTTTACAAGGGATTGGAATCTGTTTTAGAAAAATTAAAGTGCTGAGGTGAATCATTAAATTGTAATGAAATAGGTAAGTGCAAGTATCATTAATAAATGCATTAATAAAGGAAACACCCTAGGGTAACAACATTCATTTGCAATGTATAATGCTACAGATATATCACAAACTATCATGATATCCACTTTTGGTTTTAATACAATTATCCTCATGCCAGTTGTTTTTATTTTATACCTTTTTGTGCATTTAGTGCACAACCGTACCCTTCAGAGAGTAGGAGTATAATAAGTAATGAAGAGCTATAAGATGTTAAGTTTAATGGAGTAAAATGAGGATCAAGTAAAGACGTTGTCAGAAAATAAATGAGATAAGACATTGTGGAGTGGTATGAAAATATCTGACGATAGACAGCAAGTTAATTTATAAGATGCCCCATAAATCTGAGCAGATCCCACATGGTCGCATCTCAACAATAGGCTGGGTGAATGGTATATATTTAAAGGTAGAAGCATGATCTGTCAAGGCGTTCATTGTTATCTTTTTCAAGATAAAGATTTGAGCCCTCATAAAAATCAGAAATATCTCGAGCCTTCAAATTTTTTAATGCTGTTCCTGCAGAATGGGGCGATTCACCTTAGTGACCCCCACCATATCTACTGATCAGCTAACTCCACCCTCCCACCTTTTTTGATGTTAGGCTCTGAGACTATGATTATTATGGTTACCGCAAATATATTGCTTGGTACCAGACATGTTCGTACCCCATATTCCATCTCCCTAGCTTTCTTAATGAGTGCTTCCAATAGGTCCCCGCGTACATCTTTATGAACATATTATATATGTATGCATGCGTCCTAATGAACAGATTACTTTATAAGAAGTCAAAAACCTTGAAGAATAACAAGAATAGGTTTTGTGAATAGTGGAGCAAGATTCAGCAGAACAATATAGTTAGGGTTCAATATAGGTAGTATGAACTGAAGGTAAGGTCGGTTGGCAGGACCAAGTGTACTAAATTATCATGACAGTTTTATATATAGTAAACATTTGACATTGCAAAGTAACCTGTCTACATATATTATAAAAAGATAATAGCAGAACCAACAAAATTTCAGCATTTGGTTAACAATACTACAGAAAGTTAGTGAGTCTTACAGGTAGCCGTAAAGTAAATCAATCTATGTATAATAAGAGTGTAATCAGTGTTATAATTCGTATTATCAAAGAATACATTAGGCTCAAAAACTGAATGTTATAAGGGAAATAAGAGTGATAAACTAAGAGAACATTTGCTGCGTAAGTAATCATTTTAAGTATTTTAATGATAATCTAATTTCAAGTATTGAACATGCATAATTACCAAGTATTATTAGGTTAGTCTAGGAACTAGTGTACTGTCTGTAGTTAAATATTGAAATGTCATGGTTTCACCACTCTACCAGCAGTTGAGATCATTTAGAAGGGCTAGGGTGGACATGTTAATATGTTTTTCTAGGCTCCTTTTGAAACTGTCAGGCCTTTCACAGGATCTAATCTCAGAGGGTAGTTGGTTCCAAAGTTTGCAATATTTAATGGTGAAGAAGTTAGCTCTAGTGGTGAGCTTATGGGTGTTAACCTTGAGAAGGCAGTTATGGTTGCGTAGTCCACACGATTTAGGATTAGCCCAGGTTATAGACGAGTTACTGTTACAGTGCTTTCTTATAACTTTGAATAAGAGAAATAAATTGCACTTCACTCTCCTTAACCATAAGGGTTCTAAGTCCAGTCGAATACATCTGTCAAGGTATTCTATTTGCTGATCATAACCTAATATGCGTTTCGTGAGGAATCTTTGGACACTTTCAACTTTTTTTCTGTCTGCTGATTTAAAGCTACTGTATAAGTGGGCACAGTATTCAAGTTTGGGGCGAATGCATATCTTATATATGGCTAATCTGGCTTCTGGGGTGTAAAAGTTGCGTAGCACAAAGCCGGTTAGACGTTTACAATCAGATACCACCTTATTTGCATGTTCAGTAAAGGTAGGATCTGAGTATGTTACCCCGAGATCTGTGACTGTGTTCGTGTTTGAGACAAGGTCACCGTACATGTATAGACACATGCTAGGTTTCCAACGTCCGAAGTATGTTATCCCAGATTTAGCTGGATTGAACATTAACTGCCACTTTTCACTCCAATTACATGGACTATTTAGGTCTTCTTGGATTTTACTAACAATATTCATATCATTATAGTCGAAATCATAGACAACTTTGAGGTCGTCTGCAAAGAGGTATGGCTTGCCATACTTGATCATAGAAACAATATCATTTATGAATGCAATGAATAGGGTAGGGCCAAGACTTCGCTCACCAATCTCTTCCTCCACCCTGTGACATTAGAATTTAAAACCCTCTGTCATCTTATCCCATCCATCCTAATGTTTGGTTGTGTGTAATTGAGTGCAGTGAGTGCTATAGCTGAACTATTCTCCAGATTTCTTATCTTATTCGGGTCAACTAATCTAGATTTTGCTAGGTTTTGTGTTCCACTAGTCTAATTAATTGTCCCCGTTCTACTAGTTTGACTGGCAGTTATCGTAGGCAGGGTTTTGGGAAGCGGGTTTCCGGTGGCAAACATCCACCGCCGAAAATTCTTCAGAACACGATCGACTGTAATGTCAGATAACTGCACGTCTCCATTACCTTCAAAATGAGGATAAGTCAGATGAGCAACCACGATATGACTACGAGGATACCTGCAGGTGGTGAACACTCTGCAGGTACATGTACCTTTTGGAGGTTGACGGTATCGACGTTCGCAAATTGTACGGAGTATGCTAACGCAAGATCTTATACCAACAATTTCTATGGTGTTCACTCATCGAGTACCAAAGACAAAGCAAAAGACCAGATTTAGTTGTCCAAAGTACGTAATATATTTCGGGACCAAATCGCGGGTTGAAGTGAATGCTTAGCTAGCTAGTAATCGTGCACGCACGTGACACGACGGAGTACCAAATGGCGGGGATGCTTGACTGGAAGCCTTCAGCTAAACAAGTCGACTAAAACAGTGAGGGTCAGCATCCGATGTTGAGTGATGATTGCTGTGGTCAATAATTTGGGGAATTATTTACCGCTACAACCTTTTGCCATATCAACTAATGGATGTTTGAATCCATCGACGAAAAACACAGTTGGAAATGTGGTTGCCAACGCGGGCCCTTCTTATGTTTTTAAAATCTGCAACTACATTTCTTCCGGCATATTCTGTTAATTTCCACGAAGTAGGTATCCCGCTGCCCAGTGCTCTTATCTTAACATCTCGTTTGCCTTCCTTCCTTTGCAACATGTCACTCCACCGGCACACCTCCCACATACATCTGTGTAGAGTATTACCTGGGACAAGTTCCGTTTCATCAACCTGTGCAAACATTCAACACTACTGTTAGTGTTATTGCCAAGTGAACTTCAGGTGTCTAACTCTTCCAATTTCAGTCAGTTTCCCGCTCACATTCCACTTCTGTTTAAACTGTAGTCATTTTAAATGTACATAATTCTTTATTTTACGTTCCCCTCTCCCGTTGTATCAATGTTTGTGCTACCATTTGATTTCCTTCAATTTTGGATGATCTGACGTTAGACGATTTTAGTAACATCAATAATAAACCATATGCTACAATTAACTGTGTTCGTCAGAAAGTAAATTAGTTCATATGCTTTGCTGGAGCTCCCCAAAGTCCTGTCACCATTTCTGGAAACCAGTGAAAGAACTTTTAAAAAACAACTGAAGTTCGTTTTGTGAACTGTTGAAATCTTGTACTTTTCCCGAACAATGTTTTAAACATCCAAGGTCACAGTGGGGAGAATGCACACCGGTTTTCGCATTTTGTACCTTGTTTGGTGTACGTCGTACCCTAACTGCCCTGTTCATTATTTTGTTTCGCACGTATCGACTTCAGTAATTTTAAGGTTTCCATATAACCTCTGTGTACGATGGTACAACTAAGTTTAGTTTATTCTACCAAAAGACGGTATTCTACGTGTCCCGAAGTGTATGTTTGATTTCATCCAGACAGCTTAAAGCCTTCATTTTTAGAAGACTGAAAGGCATAAAATTTCAAAAAAATTGCTATCCAAATAAAGAGATACACTGAAAATGTAGGACAGAATCCTTTAAAGGATTCCCATATTCTGGTTTTGTTTCTTTGTTCAGGTCCGTCTAAACAGAACCTCCTCATTTCGAAGGTGTTGTATATGGCGCCAAACTACATTTATTTTATATAATAGTCTAATGTAGACTGGGGTTTCGCTGGATAGGGAGTTGGAGTACATAGTCTAATAAGTTTTATTTCTATAGCAAAGCTTGACCATAATTCTTGTCAAGAATGTAAACAAGAAGTGAGGTGGATAACTGATATTCTCTTTTACCAGCGGTGTTTCTCAATGTAAATGACTATCGCTTATTTCAACGAAGACTCCGTAATGCTTTCCAATCGTAAGCCTGAAGCATAGTGCGAGTCAGTATTGTGTAGAGGAAATGCACTTTGGATATGATACCTACCGTTGATTATGGTGTATTTAAAAATTGCAGAATACTGGCTAAAAGTCTATCTTAGTCCTTTTCTAACGAGTTGCTTTTGTCTATTCCCTCCTTGAACCACTCGATTGGGGGCAAAAACACCACATCTAGGAGTCGGTTGTAAGGACTTATGACTTGGAGGGAAACCGGAACTCCACAGCAGGATAGTTCTTCCTCGGGTTCTGAACTCTTTTGTCACTTTGCTTAAGATGAACTAACTTAGTATAACAAAAGAAAAGAAGATAGACCATATGCATAGTCATTTCCAATAGTTTTGAATATTGTGATTAAACTTCCTCTCTGCCTACGGTATGATAAAAAAAAGTGTTGAGTCATTCCTTGTATAGTAAATTGGCCATATCAGGGATCATACGTGTGGCTTTCCTTTAAACTCTTTAGGAGTAGATAAAGTGTTATTCATTTCCTTGACTGGTTGATGCATTTTTGCCCAGTGCATCTTCATGGTAGCTTCCGTACCTACATTGGTTACCAATGCTATGTTCTTTCCTGTGAATGCAATATTGAAGTGAAAATTGTGTTGGTTGTATGCTCAAAGTGTATCACACTTCACAACTCTTAGTCATGACCTGCCAAATTATCTTGCAGTAGAATCTGTTAAGGACTACTTTTATTATGGCTTTGTCTTATATTTGAGCACAATCAAGGGAACATCGAAAACTATCGTAAACTCCTTTTTGTTTTCCCCCCGACTGCATTAACCTCATCCCATTAGCCTACTGAATTTATTAGATTAGGATTTAAGAAAGCTAGTAAAAGAGTTTGTTAGCATTCTTGACTTGTTTCTCTGGATCTGTGAAAGCATTATAATTTTGTACGAAATCTGTTTTAATTGTATTGCAGAACTTCTGTCCTACCGGAACTCCACCATGGTCGGTCAACCTTTCAGTTGGAGCTGTTATGCATGAGTACTAGAGTGTCACCTGAATCTTTCAAACCGTCAACACTTAAAACATTTTTGCCCAGTGGAGGTGGCATCTTAATAAAATTGTCACAGCTTTATGGATATTTACTAGTGTTTCGCCAAAAAAGCCATTCATTTCACACTTCAATGTCATTAGTTAAAAAACCCAATTATCTTGTACATAATCCAACTCAAAGTGTCTCTGTGGTCCATGATGCCGCCCAGCTTCAGAACGTCGCAAGGATTCAAGAATTTTACCGTCGTCCATTACCTCGACATTGTATTTCTTTTAGTTCTCCCGAAGGAAAACGTATTTTCCGCGAGGCATTATTATCAGGGCATATGGAGACTTATTTTTGTTTAGCGTCTCAATTTTGCACACAGGTAAGTCGAAGCTCATATTTATCAGTAATAATACCTAACTACAGTGTGAGTTTAGATTGATCTGAAAAAGATAAGTGATTAGGCCAACAATGTCACCAACTCGTAAACTCTTTAATTGGGGTTCTTTGTTACTTATGATGGTGTGATATGATTAGCTTACGTCTTCTGAATGGCGTAAATTCGTGATTAGAACCTCCTACTAACATAATTTGCGAATTGTTTACAATAGCATGGATGTACTCAGTCTGTATGATCAGAATTCTGAACCTATTCAGTCATGCTGAAGTTATTCTGTCATGATCAGATTTCTCCTTTGTAATATTTCATTTGTGTTCTATACTTCTTCGGAGTGTGACATTGTGAACTTTACGAAATTTTATGGTGATCTTTGATGAGTTGGGCTAATCATCATAGTTTAACCGTGTGAAGATGATCTCCGCTGTATCCATCTTTATTAGTTGGTTAATCAGTTTAAAACGCCACAAACATTCACTATTGAGGTTAAAAAGTGTGAAGCACTAACATACTGAATATAAGAGGTATTGTTAAAGTAATATTAAAAGTATTATCAAAATACGCTAAAGTAAGTGGACAAACTAATTTTCTGCCTTTGTGTAATAAAGAAGTAAACATCCTTTGAAGTAATATTATACGAACACTTATTATTTATATGAAAACATGATATATCTGATTTCTTTTTTGCTTCGATAGGAAGAACCTTCTTATTGCGGGCTTGCCAGTTTAGTTATGGTTCTCAACGCTTTGGGTATAGATCCTGGACGAGTATGGAAAAGCCCTTGGCGTTGGTATCATGAAAGTATGTTGACCTGCTGTTTGCCACAGGATGTTCTCACAAAAGGAATTACCCTGGATGATTTTGTTAAAATTGGTCGTTGTTACGGCTTAGATGTAAGTTCTGCCTACTTGACTTGATTTTACACATTGTTGATAATTGATATAAGAATAAAACTTGTGCACTGTGGTAGAGTGTAATTACATTATGGGTAAATTTTGTTTTGATAAAGTCTCACAGTGTTATACAGTAATGTTTACTGATGACGTTTCGAGCACAATTTATTGCTCATAATCACACGACTTCCTAAATTCATTTATATAGTTCCGTTGTTTTTCACTTGATTTTCACTTGATTTGATTGGTAGTAATATTTTCCATATTTCGGGTATGAGTGATGAATCATTCCTATTGCATGTGTTGGGTGTAGATTAGATGAACAAGGATTCAGTCAGATTGTCAGAACATAAGAATTTAGCTAAGGTCAGAATGGTTGACCCCGAGAAGATAAGTAATTTAGAAAAAAGCTCAGCAATTGCAATGCATGCATTAGCACACAAACACACAATAGGATGGGAGAGGGTTAAAATTCTAAAAAGTAATCTAGGTAGGTGGAGAGACTGGTTGATTACTGAATCCTTGTTCATCGAGTCTACACCCAACACATGCAATAGGAATGATTCATCACTCATACCCGAAATATGGAAAATACTACTACCAATCAAATCAAGTGAAAAACAACGGAACTATATAAATGAATTTAGGAAGTCGTGTGATTACCTTGATATGAATATGAGCAATAAATTGTGCTCGAAACGTCATCAGTAAACATTACTGTATAACACTGTGAGACTTTATCAAAACAAAATTTACCCATAATGGAATTACATTGTTGATAACTTTGGATGAAGTTTGCTTTTTGTTTATTGTTTACGAAAACTAAACATTTATAAAGGACAGCATAAAGTGCAATTTATTAAATACGATTATTATGTCGTAATGTAAATAAATGTTGAAAATGCTCATTGGGTTCAGGGCATGATTCAACTACTTGTTTTATTTAGAGCGAGCAATTGCGGTACAGTGTAATATGGAAATAACTTTCCAACAAACTGCAGATGTTGTGAAGGCAAAGTAAGGGCAAATTGACATGCATTTATGACGAAGACAATGAAGTAATTGATGTGTTTGGGAAGGAGTGAAAAGATTTCTCTTAAACATTCTTTTATCCTAAGGTTTTTTCTTCACCGTAGAAGGTGAAATAAAACTACATCAGCTTTTCTGATTGTTCAATTTTGAGATATTTTTGAAAATATCTTATTTGATATTAGCAGTCGACATTTGATATTATATTTTGCAAAGGTGTCCAATCAGTCGAATGACAGGTGCATATAACACAGTAGTTCGTTTTATCCTATTTTACGGCTTGGAAACGGTCTCTCTGACTTATCATCATCTTTCAAGTGCTGAAAACATACACTAATTTTCGTTGAATAGCTCTCCCTGTGTCTATTATGATATCGTTCCATTTCTGTCCTTATTTTTTGTGTACTTTTTCTAAGTTAAGCAACTTGCACTAATTCACCTCTGTGTAAACTTTCGCGTCGACCAGTTGGTCATACTAATTGCGTTATATTTCTTCAAAATGGAGGTGATAATTTTGTCGATGATAGTTTTTGTTGTTGTTGTTTTGATATCCTTCTCATTGGTCCGCAACCTGTCACGTGAATGTTTTATAAAAAAATGGATTGATAGATAAAAATTTCGACGTTGTGTTTTGGTAGGAACATTTATCGTATACACAGTGTGTTCATGGAGTACAAGCTAAACACTGCTAACTTTGATTTGAGTCTTGTTTAGTAGTCAAATGAATGTTACTTGTCGTAAATTTGTGGCCTATTCTTTTGAACCACATTCATAAGGATAACAGGCTGATATAATGAGCCAACGCACTGCACTTCAGTTGTGACGTGATACGTAAACCTAAACAATATTCTCCTGCATCACTGGATTTGTTTGTCTGTTTGTTTACATCATATATAGGCGAAGTTCAACAATAGCGTCCCAGGAGTGTGAACGCTCCAATGATCTTGAACTTACTTTACTTTACTTTACTTTGGCTATCTCCTACGGGAGGATGAGCCGGCTTCATGAACATCTCGAATCATCACTGCTCAGGCGCGGCGATCTGATGCAAGGTTTTGCGACAGGGTTATCCAATTCTTGTTCCACAGACGGAGTCCGTAGACGGTTTATAGCCCTAGGCACTCCATATCAGCCTTGACTGTACCAAGCCATGTAAGAGAGTTCATGAAGTTTCATGGGAATTTGGTACGATTGATGTCCCCAGAATCGCTCGGCCTTTTGTTTGAGAGTGCAGCTCTAGCCTTTACACAACCAAGTGTGACCTGCAAGGCAGTAGGAGTGGAGTAGGGAGTCCACTATCCATTGGCAGCCGGTGTCCGCAGTTCGGTTCATACGCCTTTTTGAATGGGGCCAGACATCCAGGGCATCCAACAAGCCCTTTTTCCATACGTCTGCCGGTGAGCTCCAGTGAGCTTCATACGCCAGTCTTTGGAGGTTTGGAATCAGGGTTTAGCCATCTCCCCTAAACTGTCATCCAATGGACAGTCAACCCGGTGAAGAGCGCCTGGCATCCGCTTTCGCCCTCTCACTTTGGTGAAAAACACCGCCACGTGAAGTCAGTGAGTAGGACTTCCTTAGGAGAGGCTATGTAAGATGCCCGGCCATATGGGAGCATTTCAATAGGTGTGCGGAGGGGTGGCCAACCCGCAGCGCAAGGCACCCACCCCCGACCATCCTGAGGCTTTGGAGGCAATGATCTTGAACGCATGCTAGTCGTTGGCTAATGGTATCTGTCATTATCATAGCTGAAATATCAACACTATTCACCAACTTAAGAGCATATTTCACCCAGATCACGTTTTTAAGTACTGTTTGGACAATGTGTTAATAGCTCGTTAGGGTTAGGATTAGGGTTAAGGTAAGTATTGGGGTTAGGGTTAGGATTAGGGTTATAATTAGCATTAGGGTTAGAATTACGGTTTGGATAAGGGTTATGATTAGGATTAGGATAAAGGTTAGGGTTATTTTTAGGGTCAGGATTAAGCTTATGGTTACGATTAGGGATAGATTTATAGTTGATGTCATTTATTTTAATTTGTTTTATTATCCACGTCTTCCTAGTAAGTAGTCGTCTGTCCTCTTGCTGGAAACCATAATAATTCAATCGAAGGCTTTTGTGGAAGACTGCAAGCAGGATGAGAGAAATAAACGATTCACAAAAAACATTTTATCTGTAATCATCTCGGTGAATACATGCACAGAAACCAGTCTAACTTAGCAACTGATACTCCTCGTTACAACTAGGACATATTTTTAAGCCATGTCAGAGAAAGATAACCTGTTTAATGCGTTTTCAAGCATTTTCTTGTCAATATACATCATTTTTTGAGCAAACACTCGTCATTTTTATGACTGGTCGACTGCAGGTCACCCGTGCGTTAGCACTTTTGGGACGCTATTGTTGAACTTTGCCCGTATATACAGGTTGATTGTTTATTGACTTGTCTTTATAACTACAGAATTCCACTAATTATAACTGTACACTGTATAATAAATAGTCTGTAAAATTCCAGGGTTTTTGTTTCTTCATTTTGCAATCAGGTGGATCTACATCGTGTTTCTTCGGAAAATTCACTATCGCATTTTCGAGATATGGTAACCAAAATGACTTCTGGATCATCTGAAGGTTATCTTGTTGTCTGCTATAGCCGCAGTGCTTTAGGCCAAACGGGTACAGGTCATTTCGCTCCAGTCGGTGGTTATCATCCACAAAGAGAACTTGTCTTTCTATTCGATACTGCTCGTTTTAAATACCCACCTCATTGGGTTTCTCTGACAAAATTATGGGAGAGCATGAATCAAGTAGATCCTGCTACACAACTACCTCGAGGTTTTGTTGTTCTTCGAAAGGCTACAATTCCAGTTTCTAGTGAACAGATAACTGAAGCACAAGAAGAATTACGTGTCAGCTTTAGTAGTGATAATAGTACTAATTGTCAAAACCAATTGCATAATAGATTTCAGCTGCAGTTATTTGGAATTTCCAGCTGCGCTTACCAAGTATGTCAAATTTATATTTACAGTGAATCTTTTATATTTTTTCACGTGATATCCCACGAAAAGCTAGTGATTGGATTAATTGTATTAGTTTAGCTGTGTAAATCATGGATTTCATAATCCTTCTTGTGACACGCGGTGCAAGTTCCTGACCCATTTGGAAGAACTGACTGACTTGACATTTGTGTTGAAAATCCGAATCTTGCTGTTTATGCTGGTTAACTGCAGTACAGAAGATTTCCAAGCCGAATTCAGATTGATGAAGGCGTATCTTGCCTTTCCGATCCTGGACTGCTTTAACATCGTCATCCGTTCCGCCGGCCTGTGGTTGAAACAATGCTGGCTGCCTAGATAAGTGAAGGAAGTGACCTCCTTCAAGTTTCTCCCGTTGATGGTGATTAGTGCTGTTTGTTATTGTTGTTGCGGTTCATTGGTTATCTTCATCACCCCCGTCTTCTCTGTGTTCACCTGGAGTGTTGTCTTCGTTGCCAACATGCCTCTTCTGTCTGCTTGTTGGTTTTCGCCTGTGAGTCTTTGAGTTTGTGTGACACTAGACTAAACATAAGTGATCTGCGAAATCCAGATCTCCTAGAGTCTTCATACCAGTGGTGCAGCATATTCCTGTCCTCTCATTCCTTGTGTGCAGCCTGACGCATAATCCAGTCCACCACATTTAAGAATATCGCTGATGATAACAGTCAGCCGGCTTGTCTTACTACTGTATTCACTTCGAATACCCCATTGAGTCAGTTTTCCGTTGTGGATCACCTGACACATGGCATTGTCATATAGCCAGTTGTTGAATGAGGTCGATAAGGACTTGAGGCACTGCACTGTGTAGTGTTGAAGCAATTTCCAAATTACTTCTTGGTCAACGCTGTCTGTCGAAGGCGTTTACGAAGTCGATGAAGTTGATGTAGAGAGAGATTTGACCGCCATTCTATCCTTTGTTGTGTGGTGACGATGCGTAGAGTTGCAATTTGGTCAGCACATGATTTGGCTTTCCTGAATCCAGCTTGTTCTGGTCGGTGGGCGTGGTGGAGTGTTCTGTATCCAGTGCATGTTTTATTCTCTCCAAGATGACGCGACTTAGCATTTGACTTGGCGTGGACAAGAGCATTATTCCACGCCAGTTCTTGAAGAGAGAGGCCAAAGTCGCCCTTTGGTAGCTTGACGAGGTAGCCAGCCTTTCTCCTAATCTGTAGGTACCTTGCCTTCTTTCCAAACATTTTGCAATAATCACGTAAGCACATCTACCGCAGTCTCTGGGTTCGTTTTCAATGCTTCGGAGGAGATGAGATTCCGTCTGGCCTTACTGCCTTCCCAGCCAATGTTCCATAGCTTGATTGCATTCCAGATTTCTGCTTTTGTTAGAGGATTGGTGTCCACTGATAGGCAGTTCTGCGAGTGATATTGATGGTGGTGTATTTCTGGATGAACTGCAGGTGAAGATGGTCGATTGAAGAGTCCTTTGAAGTGACCAACCCATTGTTTTATTTGTTTCTCCTCCTTGGTAATTAGGTTCCCTTGAACATCTTTTATTGGTTTCATTATCTGGGTTGATGTCTTCCCGGATAGCGAGCAGCCTGGTTATCTGATATAATATTCTGATGTCTTTTACCTGCCACCTCCCTGTTTTGCTTCTGTTGCAGGCCAGTGTGTCGTAGAACTGTCTTTCACGACACTCTTCCTCGCTTCTTTATTCAGCTCGATGTACATTGAACTCAGCTTCTACTTCTGTTGTCCATCTTTGCACTGAGTCATCTTCTCTTTCACCATCTTCCTCTCCTCTCTTCTTAGAATAGTTGTACACGTTTCCTTGAATATTGCCTTCGGAGAGTTCCAATGTTCTTCCACGCAGGTTTCTTCAGTAATGCCACGTAGTGTCCCCGACTTTATTATGTGCTGTTTTGTTTCTCTCTTCCTTACAAACTCTACTTAAAACATTCTTCTTCGTTCTTTCACACTCTGTATATCTCGACCTTTTTGTTACCGCTTACGCCAGTAAATATGCTAGTATCTATTTTTCTAACACCAAACATTCTCTTCACTTTTGGCTTTGACCGATATGCTAATATGTTGTTGTCAAAATTAACTGAGACTACCCATAATCTATGTAGAATTTTATTTATTGTTAATGTACAAACTAGATGCAATACTGCAGTGAAATGCTGAGAATTCCATTCTGTATCACAAGTACTGTTTTAGAATAAAGCAAATTATTATTATTTATCAGAAGTGGGACTGACACGTTAGAATCAGAATTAAATATTTCTTAAAAGTTTGTTAGTGATTATTCTTATGTGGTTGTGTTTTCAGGTCCATAAAACCACTAGCATTCTCGTAAAAATTATTGTTCTACAGTGTTAACAACAGAAAAAAGTTTAGAAGACTGATTCAGGTTAAGAAACAATTTTTTTATCATTATTGTTCCTTTGGGTTCCTAGTGGAACATAGGGCTTCAACTGCATGTCTCCACTTGCTTCTGTCTTCTGCTGTACTTTTCACCTGCATCCATGTTGGTCCATACTGTTTCAATTTCTCTTCACACGATCTCCTCCATGTCACCCGTGGACGTCCCACTCGCCACTTCCCTTTCGGGTTCCACTTGAGCGCGCGATGTCACCCAGTGGCCTCCTCAGCGAGTGTCCAATCCATCTCCACTTTCTCCTGCATATTTGTCGAGCTATTGGTTCTTGTTTTGTTTGTTCCCATAGTTTCTTGTTGTTGATTCTTTCCGGCCATCTGATCTTCAGTATAGAGCGAAGACAGTTGTTGATGAAGGTCTGCAACAGGCTGTTGGAAATATTCTTGGTGACCCGCCAAGTTTCTGATCCATATAGAAGAACTGACTGACTTGACGTTTGTATTGAAAATCCGAATTTTGTTGTTGATGCAGGCTGAGTGACGAAGATTTCCAGATTGGTTTCAGGTTGATGAATGTGTTTCTCGCCTTCTGGATTCTCGATTTGACATTCTCGTCCGTTCCTCCTGTAGTTGAGACAATGCTCCCTAGATAAGTGAATGAAGTAACCCCTTTCAAATCCCTCCCGTTGATGGTGATTGGCGCTGGATGTTGCTGATGCTGCTGTTGATGTTGTTGGTTGGTTATTTTCATGACCTCCGTCTTGTCTATGTTCACCTGGAGTCCTGTCTTTGCTGCTTCTTCGACCAGTTTGTCGGTTTTCGCTTGTAAGTCTTCGATTTTGTGTGACATCAAACATAAATCATCCACGCGCGAAATCCAGGTCTTCTAGGTTCTTCGTGTCGGCTCAGGATATCCCTGTCTTCTCGTTTCCCACTGTCTGAAGCATAATCCAGTCCACCACAATTAGGAATATGATTAGTGATAATAAGCACTCTTGTCTGACTCCTGTGTTTACTCCAAACGCCTCGCTGAGTTTTCCGTTGTGGATCACTTGACATGTACCGTTGTCGTACAGCTGTTGAATAAGGTTGATGAATATTTGGGGTAGGCCGTAGTACACGAGTGGCTTTCAAATTACTTCGCGGTCAACGCTGTCGAAGGCCTTCTCAAGAAACAATTTGGTTCATTGCAATTGTTGTCGGTCTGTGGTGTATTCCATATTTCTGTTTTAACACCAACTACACTCGAATTGTTGTTGCTGTTGTCTGTATCCCATGTTCTTTCAGGCGAAAAACATTCATCATCCTAATTTCCGGTGTGTTGTCTATACTCTGTTTCCGTAATAGCTTAGGTGTAAACTATTGACGGCTTATGGGAATGTACTTCGTATTGTTGTGTTCTCCTAGCCTAAATAGTCTAACTGCGTAAAGCGTTCACTTTGAATTCAAGTAGTTTGAAGACGTCGTTATGTTGTTGAAGGATAATGGAAGCTTCTCAGTTAAGCCATTCAGTCTCTGAAACACAACACTAAGATAATCGCATCATTGATATAAGAATACAACTTGGGCACTGTGGTAGAGTGTAATTCCATTATGGGTAAATTTTGTTTTGATAATGTCTCACAGTCTTATACAGTAATTGCATGGAGGATTTCATCATGAGCTGACATCAGTTAGAGAACCACTGGAAAACCTGGGAGTACTGGACATCTGTTTCGTCAGCCTATTTTGGACTCTTCAGCAGTACGCATCCGCCGGGATTCGAACCCAGGACCTTCTGGTTATAAGGCGAGCTCGTAGACCATTGAGCCACTGGGACCTGATCCAATGGTCCTTGAATTCTAACTTCTGCCAATTCACGACATAGCGTGACCATTTCGCAATGTCTTCTTCGATGAGTTACTGCCTCATCTTCAACCTGCTGTACCCTACTTGTCACGGCTTCCCAGGTTAACTGCATGAATAGGGCCAGTCACTAGTGATCGGGTCCCAGTGGCTCAATGGTCTACGAGCTCGCCTTGTAACCAGAAGGTCCTGGGTTCGAATCCCGGTGGGTGCGTACCGCTGAAGAGTCCAAACTAGGCTGACGAAACAGCTGTTCAGTAATCCCAGGTTTTCCAGTGGTTCTCTAACTGATGTCAGCTCATGATGAAATCCATGCAATCAAACAAAATCCCTACAAAGCTATTACTTGAAAATTATACAGTAATGTTTACTGATGACGTTTCGAGCACAATTTATTACTGCTCATAATCATATCATTTATATATATATATATATATATATATATATATATATATATATATATATATATATATATTGAATCCTTGTTCATCGAATCTACACCCAACACATGCAATAGGAATGATTCATCACTCATACCCGAAATATGGAAAATACTACTACCAATCAAATCAAGTGAAAAACAACGGAACTATATAAATGAATTTAGGAATTCATGTGATTATGAGCTACAATAAATTGTGCTCGAAACGTCATCAGTAAACATTACTGTATAAGTAACTTGAAAATCCCCATTCAGTCATATAAAAGAAAAGAAGGCGTTCAGCGAAGAGACTCTTTTCGGTGAATTCATTCACTGAGCTGTACAATCGCATTTATATACAATTTTGTTT